AACATGAAATCAAACAACTTCTTTATAAGAAACTCAAGCAGCAAATCTACAACAATCACTTGTATGGAACCACAACAGGGAGTAAACAACTGATACAGAACAAAATACACATCCTAATTAACGGTTCCTCCTTGTGTAAAAATAATCAATATAAGAATTTAATCGAGTATATAGCATATAACTACAGCAACTGAGAAGCTAACTCTTTCTGTAAACGATGTCACCTGGGTTATTTACTCACGGAATTGACCAGAGTGACTAACTTGAGGTATTCAGCATATATCTATGAACACTGAACATTGCCACTTTCTTCTCCACTCCCTAATACAAACTCCGCATATAAGTTCTTCAGAGCAATGACAACAGTCATTATTAGAGGACCCATGATTGCTCCCTGTAGAATAAAAACCAAAGATACAACTTAGTTCATCTTTGTAGTTAGAGGAACTCAAATCTGATATTGATGTACTTCAAAGGCATAAGAGGACCCTATCTCAAGTGAGATTTATGCGATGTAAGAAAAACAATTTACCATCACAGAGATATAGACAGCTGACAATAAACAAGCACATGATTCCTTAAGCTCTATTAAACACCTGAAACCTCATGACACAGAAGACTCCTAATAAATCAGTTATACTTGTTTCCTGATATTGCATATAGCTGATGTTGACTACAAAAGGCAGACTGAAATCATTCAACAAACTAGTTAGGATAAAAACTGATAATCCTCAGTATGAAAAAGATCATCAAGTTGATACGCAAATCTTCATATGTGAATATGGTCTGCAAATCATTTATGTAGACTTTGCAGAGCAGAAATATAAAAAATGAAATACAATAGTGTTATAAGTGTCCTTCATAGATACAATAAAGTGAATATACAATAATCAGTATCCTAAAGAACCTGAACCCAAAATCTCTACAACGACATTTATGATCTAGGACATCTGAATTGACAAAAATCAACATATATTTAGAATTGGCAGATCACTTACAAACATCACTGTAATTTATACCTTACAGATAAAAACACGCAAGAGCGATATCTGATGATTTAGAGGGCCAAATATATCCATGATCGGGAAATAGGCACTTCAAAAGAATGAGCCAGTCAGTATTCCAGTACAAAAAGTACCACATCTAGTGCATTTGTGTCATGTGGCATCTACATTGCCATGGGGATTAGTCTATTTGGATAAAATGCTTTATATTAGATTAACTAGCTAAACAAAACCATTCAAAATCAATTAACTAATTCAGATATTTGGTTTCTATCTACCAAAAGCCTAATGAGATGAAAGTTACCTCCAGAGCATTAGGGAACAACGTCACACCACCAAGAATGCTGAGTCCCGTGAGGTACGCATTATGTCCCGGTATATCCTCCTGAATAACTGACGTCCCATAATCCATCAACACAAGGTGTACCACCGTCAATCCAACAGCCAAAAAATACCTCCCTTCCATGAATAATTGTGCCGCTGCAGGGATGGTTGATAGCAATGGTGGCAATATAGGCAACAAGGGACTAAGAAAAGCTAAAACCGTCGACATGTACACAAAATGCACCGAAAAGAACCTGAACAACAACCAAGTGAGACAGCCTTGAAAGATTGCAATCTTCGCAGTAGCCAAAAACACACTACCAATCGCATGGTTGATGACCTCAACACACCGATTCCTTACAGAATTCGATATGGGTAACAATCCCATAACTTGCTCAGTCGCTCCTCCTGACTCAGAGGTAATCAAATAGAACAAAACCCACAAGAAAACCATCAATTGCGACACAAAATTCAGCACCTCAGCAGCCCCCGAAACGATTGCAAGCACAACGGAAAGCAATAAACTCGCACTGCCACCGAGAACTGAAGTCCCACTTGCAAGAACCCTCTTCGAAACCTCAATCCCCTGAAAAGCAAACCCTTTAGCCTTTTCGACCAAATCCACTCTCGTAACCATCAAATCCCTAAGTATTGAATCTAATTCGTTATAAATCTCTCCCCATTGCCCGTTCTTCGCTCTCACAGTCAAACTCTGCAGCTTCAAGCTATAAGGATGCGGCGGGCTTGACCCAATAATGCTCGTTGGAGACCCTTTCGATAGATCAACCGACTGAGCGATCAAGAAATGCCTCAAACCCTTTGAGAACTCCGTCAGATTGTACTGAACAGCAAGCTGATCGACCTGATCCCAAACAGTCTCATAAACCCTAGCCGAGTACTGATCAACTAATCCGGGCACATCATTCTCCTCAATCCACTTCTTGAACCCAATCTTCTCCGCATAGTTACTATTCTGCACGTGCTCTTTTAGAGAAACAACAGCATCTTTCCCCTCGACGGCGATTTTATAGGAGAAGAAGGCGCCGCCAGCGAGGGCTCCGACGATCATGCCGACCATGAGACCGACGGCGATGATGGTCTCAAGACGCTTCAGGATGGCAGAGGTGAGAAAGGCGCCGCCTTTGACGGACGTCGCGTTGGCGAAGGCCGGAGTTGGTGACGGCCGAGGCGGTCGGCCGCAAGAAGCAGGCTCTGGCGGAGCGATGACGGCGACGCTACGAGCCGAGGTCTGCGTAGGAGAGCGAGGAAGAGTCCAGAAAGTCCGCAGCCAGCGGAGGAGCGGGATAATTCCGCGCCGGGGCGCCGTCCCCGCCCTTTCGGCGGCGGAGGAGCAGGAGGCGGAGGTCGGAGAGGGTGGCGGCGGAAGGAGCGGAGGGCGGCGGAGGGAAGCGCAAGGACCGTCGGGAGGACCCCGAGGGAGAGGGGTGGGGCCCAGAAGTGGAGCAGAGCTTGGTGGAGCTGGCGGAGGGGATGGAGAGAGGCAGGGCCCACTGGAGAGGGCGGAGGAAGGATGGAGGAGGCGGTAGAGCGTAGAGGAGGAGGAGGGAGAGGGCGAGGCAGGCGTGGGCCATGGCGATGTGGAGGGCGAGCTTGGCGTCGGGGTCTAGGGGCCAGGGTCTTGGATGGCTTCTGAAGGGGAGGGGGGTTAGGGTTAGGGTTAGGGTTAGGAGGAGGGGAGGAGGGCGGGTAGACGGGAGGGAGTCGGGGGTTGACGGCGGGAGGCGGAGCGGAACATCTCGGACCAGGGGAGGTTAGGAGTTTTAGGGTCTGAGGTTGAAGAGGATAGGGTACGAGGTCCATGGCCATGGCCTTTGGAGACTGTCGACGGGGTTGGGGAAGAGGAGGAAGAAGACGATGATGTATACGTTTGTTTTAGGTGGTGGGAGTGAGCTGGATTTTTGTAATAATACTTTCACTTTTTAATTTTAATGAGATTTTAAAAGTAATTATGATTTCATTGTTTGTACTTTGTTTTGGGTTTTTAAGCGTATATCTAAATCTAAATCTAAATCTAACTACTTATAAGAGAATACTCATGTCAAAACTTTTGATTTTTCTTTTACCCTCTCAATTTTTTATCTCTCACACTTATTATCATTATTTATAAAACTAATGATCTATAACTCTCATTACTATGCACATTTTTATTTTCTTAAATTATTTAGTCATTCACTAGAATATATTTAACATTTATAACGATAACAAAATTCGTAATATATAATTAATTTATTATACATAATTATTAATTATATATAAAATAGGAAAAGTACTTCATTTAGTAAATTAGTGCACATAATTATAATCTATACTACTTATAAAGAGAATACTCATATCAAACTTTTGGTTTCCTTTTTTGCCCTCTCAAATTTTATAACTCAACAATTATATCATTATGTATAAACTAATGATCCAATAACCTCTCATTAACTATGCACCTCTTTATTACTTAAATTATTTCGTCATTCATTAGAATATATTAATATATTTATAATGATAATAAATTCATAAATATATGATAATTTATTATAAATAATAATTAATTATATAACAAATAAAAAATTCTATTTAATATATTATTGTACATAATTATAATTACTAATTATAGTATAATAGGGTTATCTTTTGTTGTAAAAAATATTACCTTGTTCCGATAAGGGTGTCCAAAAAGCCCGCCGGTCGGCCTGGCCGACCTCGGCCCGGAAACCGGGCCAGTCGGGCTCCGGCCTGGGCCGCCTCTTTGGTGCCCGCCTGGCCCGGAATAGGTTTTTTATTTTTATATTTTTTTTATATGTATTTATATATGTATATATAAATATATATAGGATATGTATATATAATATATTTTTATAATGTATAATATATATATATATATAATATATATATATTATATATATATATATTATATATATAATATATATATATATATATATATTATATAATATTTCTATACATGTATAATATGTCATATGTGTGTATATATATACTCTCTCTTAGTATATAAGTATATATAAGTATACTCTCTTATATATGTATAATGTGTGTATGTATATACTCTCTTTCTTAGTATATATGTATAATGATAAGATACTCCTCTCTTATATATGTATACTCTCTCTTATATAAGTATACACTCTCTATATCATGTATAATATATGTGTGTGTATAATATATATACTCTCTCTTTTAGTATATATGTATATATAAATATACTCTCTCTTATATATGTATACTCCCTCTTATATAAGTATTTCTCTCTATATATGTATAATATGTGTGTGTATACTCTCTGCTCTTAGTATATAAGTATATATAAGTATAGTATATTACAACGGCTACTTCTTCCCCATTGGCCCAACGGCAACGACTCTTATGTGATTTCTCTCTCTCTCAAGTAATAACTTATAAATATATACAATATATTTACATATAATATATGTATAATATAATATATAGTTACATAATAATTTGTAAGTATATACTAATACATAATTATATAAATATAATAATGTACTTATCTATTGTGATGCGATGAATTTCAAAATAAATTTATACTTGTAATTTATAAATAATTTATAATATAATAAAGAATTTATTTTTATAATTTTTTATTTGTAATTTATGTCATTTTAAGTGATTAATAAAATTATTGTTTTTTATTAAATTTTTTATCTTTTTTTTGTATAATTTAAAATTTAATAGATTTAAAAAAAGAAATAAACCGGTCGGGCCCGAACTCGGCCGGGCCGGGCTCCGATTTTGCCCGGCCGGGCCCGGATCCGGCCCGGCCGCGGATGACAACCTATGTTCCGATAATTAATATCATCTTAGTAATAAAATTTGGGATGTTATAAATTAAAAAATATTTTTATGTTGGAAAATTAATTATGTAAAAATATTTGTGATCCTTTGAATTTTATGAGACATATACTTTCCTTTTCTTTTTCGAGAAATATTTGGTCATTCACTAGAATATATTAATAATTTGTAATAATAATAAAACAATAAATATATTACAATTATCATAAAGAATTATTAATTAATGAAATTATAATTATTTATTTAATTAATTATTGTATATAAATATACTATTAATAATAGTACAATATAAGGATTGGTTCTTTATATTGTAGACAATATAACCTTTTTCAACATTATAATATCATCTTCGTAATAAAATTAGACGTTATAAATTAAAAATAATTTTATTTAGAAAATTATTTTTTTATAAATATTATCCTTAGAATTTATGAGACATGCACTTTTTTTGAATGTAAATGTCTCATAAATTTCAAGAATCCAATAATTTTATATAAAGTATTTTTCCTAAATAATAGTATTTTTAATTTATACCATCAATTTTTTATTGCAAGATAAGATTATATTAATTATCAAACAACTGTAATATTATTTATAACATAAAGTCATATAATATTAAAATTTATTTCCACTATTTAATAGATAATGTATAATATATATGTATATTAAATAAATATTTAATAATATAAATGGTTTAATTATTTCGATAGTGTTACTTTTTGTCTCTATTTCAATTTAGTTTGCTTAAACTAATAATTGCATTTTATTTAATAATTATACTTTTAAATAAATTGTTTAATAACATAAGCAAATTTAATAACTATTAAATGTATGTTTAATAATAGTATAATACTAATATAGAATAACTTAATTTTTACCATAGCGTAATAAAATAACTTGTAAAATGTATATATATTTATTATACAATATAATATTAAATACAAAAAGTTGTCCACGTGCATTATATTAGTTATTAATAATAGTATAATAAGAGTTACTTCTTAGTTGCAAAGAATATGCTTTGTTCGATAAATAATATCATCTTAGTAATAAAAAAATAGATGTTATAAATTAAAAATATTTTTATTTTAGAAAATTAATTTATATGAAATATTTAAGATCATGAAATTTGTGAGACATATACTTTTCTCTTCTTTTTCCCAAAATATTTGGTCACTTGCAGACATATTAATAATTTATATGATAATAAAGCTAATAATATAATATAGTTCATTATAAAAGAATTAATTAATTATAATAAATATTAAAATTATTTATTTAATAAAATATTGTACATAATTATAGTTATTAATAATAGCATAAATAGGGGATGATTCTTTATATTGTAAGGAATATCACCCTTTTTCGATATTATAAATACATATTAATAAATAAAATTGGACATTATGAATTAAAAATACTTTTATTTAGAAAAGTTACTTTTATAAAAAATATTAGATTTTGAAATCTATGAGTCGTTCATTTTTTTGTGGAAGTAATATGTTTCATAATTTTAAGGGTTCAATATTTTTAATATAAAGTATTTTTCTAAATAATATATTTAATTTATTCATCTAATTTTTATTACTAAAATGATATTAATTATCGAGTAAGTAATATATTACAACATAAAGTCATATATATTAAAAACTACTACATTATTTAATAAATATTGTAATAAATGGAATTTGCTTCTAGGCCCCAAATTTATATTTTCAATATGCTCTAGCCCCTCCTACTTTTTTTAATGTTCTTTAGCCCCTCCTTTGTGAAAATAATATGGCCAAGCCCCTCCATCATGATTCCAGCTCATTTCAGCACTTGATTAAAGACATGCCGCTCATGATTAGACATATCAGCTGATTTAAATCCGAATTTACCCTCCTCTTTCTTATGTCAATGGAGGATTTAACTCTTTTCTGTAAAATGTTAACTTTTTCTGTAACATGTTAACTCTTTTCGTGTTATTTAACTCTTTTCTATAAAATGTTAACTCTTTCTGTAACATGTTAACTCTTTTCTGTAAAATGTTAACTTTTTTATGTAACATGTTAACTCTTACAGATAACATGTTATTCTTACAGGTAACTTTAACTTACATCCTAACATGTTAACTCTAACAGCTAACATGTTAACTCTTACAGCTAACATGTAGCTGTAAGAGTTAATATGTTACAGAAAAAGAGTTAACAGTTAATAGAAAAGAGTAACATGAAAAGAGTTAACATGTTACAGAAAAGAGTTAACATTAATGTGCCACGCGAGTTCTCGGACGCGCTGGCGCTGAGCGGGAAGGGGCAAAGGGAACGAAGGAGGAGGAGGAGGTGCATCGAGGAGGGAGACGGGGGGGAGGCGAGGGAGGTGCAGCGTGGGAGGAGCAGTGAGGAGGATGAGGGAGCTGTAGGGGGGAGGCGGGGGGAGGTGTAGGGGGAGGGAGGCGGGGGGGAAAGGAGTAAGGGGGAGGGGAGGGAGGCGGGCGGAGGCAGAGGGGAACGGAGGAGGAGGAGGAGGGGTGTGTAGGGGAGGGTAAAATGGGATTATGTATAAAGTTTGCATAGGAACTTGGGGAGAGGGGTTTTTTAATAATTTTTTTCAAAAGGTGGGGCTGCCGACACATGTTTGAAAGTTGGGGGGCTAGAGCATATTGAAAATATAAATTTGGGGCTTTGAAGGCAATTTTTCCTAATAAAAATATATCCATAACATAAATATTTAATAATATAAACGGTTTAATTACATCAATAGTTGTTACTTAAACTAATGATTACAATATTTTAATAATTATACTCTAAATAAATTGTTTAATAATATATAATACAAGCAATTTAAATAACTATTAAATGTATGTTAATAAATATTATAATATTAATTATAGTATATAACTAATTTTTTTAATCATAGTACAATTAATAACTTTGTAAAATATTTATATATAATTATTAAATAATATAATATAAATACAAAAACTGTCCACGTGCTTTGCACGGGATTAAGTAGTATATATATACACGTCTATGATATTGAGAAGGGTAGGCCTGTCCATCCGGGCGGGCAAAACCGGGACCCGGACCCGGGTACCCGGGCCGGTCGGCGGGCTGGCCGGTGATTTCTTTTCTTTTATTTTATTTTTATTTTTTATTTTTTTCCAATTTTTTAATGTTATTTAATTATAAATTATAAAAAGACAAGAAAAATAATAAAACAATAATTTTATTATTACTTAAAATGACATAAATTACAAATAAAAATGATAAAACAATTCTTTATTAATAATTAATAAATCATTTACAAATACAAGTACAAATTTATTTTGGAATTAATCGATCACAATAGATAAGTAAATCCAACTAGGTTGGCACCTACTCACGCTATATCACTATCATTTGCAATTTATTTCCAAATAATTCTTTACAAATTTTAAGCTAAGATATAAAACTACAATCTATTCTTTAGATCTATCTGCTAGTCCCAATTCTTCAAATTTATCTTCAATTCCAGTCATCGCGATCGATGCCTTGCCGTTCGCTCTGTACCTCCACCAATCTGTGGCACATCACGCTTGTACAGTATACGGATCCAAGCATGTCATTGTGATCGGTCGATCAAACGACCTGCTGTGCTGAAGGCGGATTCCGAAGCTACCGTCGAAACATGCACTGTTAGTAAGTCACGAACCATGGTGAAAAGTATAGGATATGAAACTGATGCTATATACTTTCCACCATTGCAAAATATCTAAAGCATTTCCTTGACATCTAACTAAAGACAGAAAAATATTCATTCTATTTCAGAAACCTCCGATGATGACGTCCAAGTCCAGATCCACCAGTTAGCTCGGCTACCATTGCATACCTATCAAAACTTACAGCTTTTACCTCGGGCTCGGATGAGCTCGAAGAAACGAAGATTGGCAGACTGTTGTCAGCTACACCATGTCTAGCTACATACTCATCATATAAGGTTTGAAAATTTCTAATAAGTAAATGATGAGTAAGTGCATTCAGGGTGGTTCCATCATCTAAGTCTATAACCTGTCCACCCATACAATGACTGTAACAAACTTCGAAGGCCAATATCCTTCAAGTCATGGATCAATAAGAACCTCCAAACAAAAATATGAGGAATAGGCCTAAAATAACTTATTAAATTTGCTCTCAATTTCAAAAACCATAGGTCCAAAAGTAGCATCAAACGATATTATCAAAAAAATTTAAATATTTAAAATTTGTAAAGCAGCTAGAGTAATGTTGGATAATAAAGCCAGATAATAACATGGTAGCACATAAAAAACTTGTAACATTTATAAATTACATATAATGTCCATTCATCTTCAGTTATTGCATTAAGTGCTACCAGAACTAGAACTAGAGCATATAGTTTAAAAATCAGTTATAATGTCTTTATATTCTATTGCTATACTTAACATTGCATATGTGGAATTCCACCTATGGTCACATCTTTTGGAATTAGTCTAGGCCTTTACATTTTTTCTTTACAAATTGTTTCCATCTTTTAAGTTT